CGTAACTTCCTGAATTATGGCCCCTGGTTGCACGAAAAATCGCGTTTTTAGTTTGTGGACCCTATGGAGGTCATAAATTTTATCCAATTTGAAAAAAAAAAACGTTTCAGTATATCACCGTTACACCCTAAGGATGGCTGAGTTCGAATTTCGTGAAAATCGGACCAAAACTGACTGACAAAATGGCCGCCCGTCGTTCTCAAATAGCGTAAAAATATGGTATATCAAGGTTGTGGATCCTATAGAGGTCACAATTTTTATCCGATTTTGGAAACTTGAAATGTATGTTTATAACCCAAAGATCTCAGTTCCTTTCGATATTCACGCATATCGGACCGTAGCTTCCTGAATTATGGCCCCTGATTGTACAAAAAATCGCGTTTATAGCTTGTGGACCCTATAGAGGTCATAATTCTTATCCGATTTACCAAAAAAAAAACCCGTTTGAATATATCACCATTACACCCTGAAGATGGTTGAGTTAGAATTTCGTAAAAATCGAACCAAAACTGACAGACAAAATGGCCACACCTCGTAGTCAAATAGCGTAAAAAAAATATGGTATATCAGTGTTGTGGACCCTCTAGAGGTCACAACTTTCTTTTGATTTTGATAAAACTTGACATGTAAGTTTATAACCCAAAGACTTCCTTTCGATATTCGCGCAAAGCGGATAGTAACTTCCTGAATTATGGCCCCTGATTGTACGAAAAATCGTGTTTTTAGCTTGAGGTCCCTCTAGAAGTCACAATTTTTATCTGATTTAAAAAAAATGTGTGAATAATCGCGGATACCCGAACTTAACTTCCTGGATTATGGCCCCTGATTGTTCGAAAAATTTTGATAAAACTTGACATGTAAGTTTATAACCCAAAGACTTCCTTTCGATATTCGCGCAAAGCGGATAGTAAATTCCTGAATTATGGCCCCTGATTGTACGAAAAATCGTGTTTTTAGCTTGAGGTCCCTCTAGAAGTCACAATTTTTATCTGATTTAAAAAAAATGTGTGAATAATCGCGGATACCCGAACTTAACTTCCTGGATTATGGCCCCTGATTGTTCGAAAAATTGCATTTTTAGCTTGCGGATTCTCTAGAGGTCACAATTTTTTTCCGATTTTAAAAACCGTTTAAATATTTCACCATTCCACCATAATGAAGGTTGAATTCGAATTTCGGGAAAATCGAAATGAAACTGCCAAACAAAATGGCCGCACTTTGTACGCAAATTGTGTAAAACTATGCAATACGAATGATGTCGACCCTCTAGGTCACAATTTTTATCCGATTCTGATGAAACTTAAAACATATCTTTATATCCCAAACATCTCAGTCCAAGGATTCAATAACACGGTTCCTCAACGTACAGGGCGAGTGTAATGAGAGCTACGTTCAGAGCTGAACTAGGTATATATATAAATATTGTGGTGTAATTGTCGAGCTATTTGGAGATATTTATTTATGGTGGGGCCCCCTATGATTACATGGGCTACTCAGAATAACAAATTGCAGTATATAATATTGCATACTTCATTGCTTCTATTGTGTACTATAAACTCAAGTATACTAGATATATAATTATTTAATGACTTTCAATTGTCATCTTCTGTTTTCCTTTTAATAAAATCAATAAGTGAAAATTGGAAATGGAATGACAAGATCTACAGTCAACGAATTTGTTTCTCTTCATTTGTGAAACTGAGAATAAGGGTATTAAACAGATGTATTTTGGAGCTACGTTTCTCTTGTCGTTTTTCTCAAACACAATATCGTTCTCATTCATCAAGTGGTTTCACTAATGTTATTGATTGCCAGAGAACTGTTGTGTTTATTTTAATGTGTTCAATTACTACATGCGAATTAAACAGATGGGGTATATCTTCTTTGATTGGCATTTAGTAATTGAACATATTAACACAAGGTACAATTTTATGGATATATAATATTACTGAGTTTGATACTAAGCGACGTTTCGGCGAGGATACTCGCGTCTTTATCAAGCAAATGATACAAACATATGAATTGTGGGCACATATATATATGGAATGTGCAACAAAGATAATGATACAAATACAAATATTTGCTTGATAAAGACAATTTGACATTTTTTAATGCGATGCAGAGATAGTGTCATTATTCCCAATGGATTAATCAAAGGTGTTAAAGCTTTAATTGCATTTGATTATTATCTTTGTTGCATATTCCGTATATATACTATTCAAAAAAAGTAGGGGATATTTGATTTTTAAGTGTTATTAAAGTCACCTAATGAAACTGACGAAGAAACAAATGACAAAATGAAATGAAGTTCACATTCATCGATTTATTCCAAATGATCGTTAGACTAAGTAAGGCACAGACTGACCATTATAAGGGTAAAATGATAGCCGGGGTCAAACAGCAAAGTTACCACAGCATCACAACCAAGTCAGTAACGGGTAAATCCTCCTCTGTTTGCCAAACAAGCATTGATCCGACGTGGCATACTCCTAATGAGACGTCTAAGGTCATTTTGGTCCAGATTGTCCCATTCCTGTTGCAACGCAGCAGCAAGTTCTTGGACATTGGCAGGACGTTGTTGACGTTGACGTAACCTCTGTCCAAGCATGTCCCAGACATGCTCGATGGGGGAGAGGTCGGGACTCAGTGCTGGCCAAGGTAATGTGGTGATGTTCTGTTGTTGGAGGTAACCTGTAACGATCCTGGCCCTGTGACATCTTGCGTTGTCATCCTGGAAGATGAAACGGCGGCCATGACGTCGTGCGAACGGCACAACATGGACTGCCAAGATGTTGTTCCGGTAGTACTGGCCTGTAACACGCCCTGCAACAACATGTAAAGCTGTTCTTCCAGCAACAGTGATGCCTCCCCACACCATAACAGAACCACCCCCAAATCGGTCATGTCTGATGACGTTAATGTCTTGGAAGCGCTCGTTTCGACGACGCCACACCCTCCTACGTCTGTCAAAAAAATCAACAGTGAACCTTGACTCATCTGAAAACATCACATTGCTCCAGCGTCGATTATCCCAGTGTTGACGATCCCTACACCAACGACGTCTTGCCTGAATGTGATGATCTCTCAAACAAGGGATCACGCGAGGACGTCGGGCGCGAAGGTGACCCCTATGCAGTCGATTCCGAATCGTCTGGCCACTCACTCTCACACCAGTGTCTGTTTGAAGACGAGCGCTGATCTGATTTGCTGTGATGACACGATTTCTCAAGGCCAAGGTACGGATAAATCGATCCTGGGCCTGAGTTGTCGCCCTTGGTCGACCTGAGCGTGGTCTGTCTTGTACAGATTGTGTATCACGGTATCTGGACCATAGCCTGCTTATGACAGACTGAGAAACATTCATCGTCCGCGCCACAACCGCCTGTGTTGTGCCGATCTGTAGCATGCCAAGGGCACGTAACCTTTCATTTTGGGTAAGCCGACGCATATCAAAATTTGTTTTCTGGTCACTGAAACAATTAAACTGATGTTTCCACCCTGGAATTCAATGCCACAATGACTGTAACATTCAAAGTCAGAGTCGTGCAAATCTTGGGTTGGACCCCCATGATGATCCCAAGCATCACCTGCATTCCATGCGCTAGCTATTGGTGCGTTTGGGCGTCACATGTAACTGGAAATGTTTCTTCTGTTAGGTTCTATAGTGACTTTTTTCGTAGTCATTTGCATATTTTAGTATTATGCCCCCAAAATCAAATATCCCCTACTTTTTTTGAATAGTATATATGTGCCCACAATTCACATATTTGTATCATTTGCTTGATAAAGACGAGAGTATCCTCGTCGAAACATCGCTTAGTATCAAACTCAGTAATTGATATCCATAAAATTGTACCTTGTGTTAAACAGATGGGTTTGTAAAAATATTTCTCACTCGTTCTGCTAGAAATTCCATTGCAGGGGCAGTCCCATAACATGGCATTGTTAAATATTTCAGTATATCCAACATAGAAATGAAATGGGGTTTAATGTTCTACATTTCTGCACCAACCCTGATAGGGTCTATTTTAAGGCTTTACTGGCGATGTACGGTTTCCGGTGTTTTGGGGTTCTGTGAAAATTTCCAGAATTTTACTTCCGATAACACGATAACACACTTACACTTTTATAACCCAAATGAAAGAGAATTAACATATTTATAACCGCGTGTCAATATCATTAGCAGTTCAAAGAAACATCCAAAGTCGATCCAAGGGAAACGAATCGGAACCTGACGATGTTCTGTTATGTAATTTTCGTGCTTTAGGTGGTGGTGGGAATATGTCAACAATACAAAACCTTTGAAACAGGAATCGAAAGTGGTCGATGATCACAATGATAGCTAAGTTTCCCCATACAATCTTGTAAGATTCACAAGGCTACATAGCATTTTTTCAAAGCACAGATTTCAGATTTTCAAAGCACAGATTTTTTATCCGGGTGGGGGGGGGGGGGCACGTTCATGCCTGTACGCAAGTTAAAATAGGCCCTGATCCATGATAATGACAAGATGGGCACACACCATGCAGTGTGCAATGTGGGAAATTTTTCCCCGACCATAGCAGAGTTTTTGCCAACTCGTCATCGAATTCCAACTGTCAGGGGTTCTTTTCTGCCAGCGTGTACACAGGAGCTCGATTTGTGGTCCCATCAAAATGACCAGACACTCCTCCATCCTGCACCACCTACAAGCAGGAACCACGGAAACATTGTGGCTCTTATCTAAAATGGCCTTATGTGTCTGGAATATTCAAATCAAACTATACAGCTTTTTGGCAATAGATTTACTGAAAGGTGTTACATAACTTATTTGAGGAATTTCATTCTTCAATGTATGAGTGACCGGAGTGTAGTAAAGACCGGATGTTAACCACCTTCAATTTAGAGTGTAACAACAATAAGATCTAATCTAAATCAGCTGGTCTCCATTTTGTTTTTATTCTGGGCATAGTTATGGTGACAAAATGCCATTGGTTACGAATAAATTAAATTGAAGCATGTGCAATAAAAAGGTTTCTTTATTAAAAACATATATTCTACATTTGATTTAAAGGTTCAATACCCAATACTCTCATTCCATTAGCTAAAGTTTGTCTTGCACTGTTAAATAACACTAATCTAGCCTGTAAAATAACAAAAATGTATATTAATATAACATAGCTAACATAAAAATATATATGTACTATACAGAATGTTTGGGTGTGGTCCTAATAATTTGCTAATTAAGAGGAACATATTTCAGGAAATTAGAATGGTACATCTGGAAATGTTAAAGAAGAATCACCCCTTTGGATTTGGAAATCTTGAATGTTAGTATACAAAAATTTCCAATTTATCGGGACTTGATGTTTGACTATAAGGTTATATCTGTGGGTAGGCTCAAAATTTTGGAAAGATCTACAGTATAAAGACACTGTCATATGAACCCCATGTAATAAACAAGTTGGAAGCATAGTTCATGAAAGAATATCAGTTTATATGTCCCATACATTATTCAATCAACAATACAATAACAGAATAATTCCAAATTTTTTTCACGGATTTGTTAATCACTTACCTCAGCTAATTCTGTTCGTTGGTTTTTAACAGGTAAATGTTTATATGCTAAGTTAGCTAAATGTCTGAAAAACATCATAGAATCAATTATAACTAACAACCAGCAGCTGCCAGGCATGATACACCCACATTTTGCAAGAGATGGATAGAGAACAAGCTAAAAACAATCAGGGGCCATAATCCAGAAAGTTATGGTCTGAAATGCACAAATATCAAAAGGGACTGAGATTTGTTTTAAGTTTCATCTAAATCGGATAAAATTTGTGACCTCTAGTTGTTCGATTTTATAGATCGGTTTAGCGTGAGCGAAGGTGACAGGATTTTCAACCCGAGAATTCCGCGGATTTGAACATTCTAGCGCAATTAGGAGAGTTATTGTGTCCCCCAAAAACTGACAGAAAGAAAGACGGGGTGACAATAAATGCTA